TCAATACTTTTTCGGTCACTTATGCATCAATAACCATTAGCAAAGTAGATTACGCTTTATCTAATGAAGAAGATTGATAAACAGTTTTTGAAACGAATGGCTTTTAAAATGAACCTAATGTTAGACGTTACCCAAAACAAAGCGTTTTTTTAATCTAAAAAAGAATATTTCATTGAAATTTCTAATCTCTCAGCTGTGCCTCTGATCTTTCGTTTCACAGGTTCTATAATTTCTAATCAACCTAATAAGTCAGTAACTTACCATTAATTTTAATATAAAAGATTTGTTCAAATTGTTGGATTTACTTAATATTTTGGCTCTCTGAGTGAAACCCACAGGTCCTAGACTCAACTCCTTGTAATATTATGGATGGGAATTGTTGAGAATGTTCACATTAGAATGAATTGTCTGTCCAGAGAATTCTGTTTTTTAATAGCTGTTAAACTAAGTTTAGTGCGTAATGTAAACTATAAAATATTAACAATATATACAATACACAGTCACTATTAATTACATCCCATGCTATCTATTTGGTATAAACATATATACCTAAATATGAAATTTGTCTGCAGCATAAGCTTCCTCATATAAATACGTTTGTACAATTCTATAATGTAATTGTTAAAATGTTAAATAGACTTCATCAAAATATTGGTTTTAGTTCCTGATGAACATCACGAATTCGATCTTTAGAGAAATGCACAAAATCACATAAAATATTATATTATCAAGTATTGTTATTACATTGACGATTATTTATTTAATTTTAATATTAAATTTAGCCTAATCCATTCACCTCTTGTTCTTAATCTTCCTTCTTTTTCCCATAAATTCAATTAATCATGGACACTGACACTAGAGATCTTCAATTTTTTTTTGAGCAAATTATCCCTTAAGTAATCCGTTTATTTGCCCTGAATGTAATTATTTCATCTTAATGAAAAGCGAATGTAGAAAGTTTTTTAGGTCAGAACCACAATAAACCCTGATCAGCGTTATATAATGATAGAATAATGATGAAACAATGCGTTGACCTTTTCTATTTCAATTCTAATCTTTGCGAAGAAAACCATGAGTGGAAACAAAAACTCAAAAAAACAAACAAACAACCGGATATGATCAGATTTAATTTAATATTTAATTATTGATGCGAAAAACAATCATGGTAAATGAATACCATGGAGAAAACAAGTGAAGACAAAAAAATGGCCAGTGACCAGAAGATGAAATATAAAATGACATGTGAAATCATTATTGTCCATATCTTCAACAATGACAATGTAATTAACAATGTTCTATATTCTACTGAATTATTTTGTTTCTGTAAATAAGCAAAGAAACAATTAAGCTATTGTGTTTATAAATAATGAACGATAGTGTTTCACAGCCTAAGGATATCATCAATCTGATTTAAATGAACTTTATAAATTTTCATTTAAAAAAATTAAAAATTATTCCAAATGTGAACAGATGACAATTTTACAAATATTTGATTCATTATTTATCTTAAAAAAAATATTTTTAAAATTTATCTCCTATATGCTTTTACTTAATGATAAATTGAATTTATTTGTGTAGATAGAAAATTGAAAATATGTGTCTTTGAATATTTTAACCACTGATACAACTCTGTTTTGTTAAATTAGTTATTTACTTCACCAAATGTCCACGTAAGCATGGAGTAGTCTAATAAGACCATTTTACAAATAGTCAATATTTTTAATAACTCGGCAAAATTGATCGTTTTTGTGTTAGGTTATAATTGCTGATAGATCATCATGAATCTGATGATGATTCTTTTAATGAGCGATATAATAATTATGGTGCATATTATATGCCGGAATTCTCTATTTGATGCGAAACATCAACATTTTCTGATCGATAAAGATGATGACATTCTTCGAAAACCTAAAACTAATATTAGTTAATACAGATTGTTGACTGAGGTTATATATTTTGTACTTCTTATGATGTGTTAACTTTAGCTAAACATGTTTTAGAATTAAACGAACACTGAACCGCTATTTCGTCACTTACTAAACTCCAGGACTTTCGTGATAAAGCTACAAGACTGTTCACTAATATTGATAAGTATCTGCTTCACCATTATCGTTTATCACCCCATATTATACAGGAATTCTGTCAATCATAAAAGCTATTAAGAAGGCAGTTTCCAGTTTCTTAATGATAGTCAACCGAAAGTTGATAAGTATTTGAAACTATAAGTATGAACAAACCAAAGTATTTCTGTTCCATTTTGTTCATTTTACAAAGATATCTCAAGCCTGCAGTTAGTTACCTACCGTCAACAAAATATACAATGATTGAAAAGTGGTTGAGACAAATCATGTTTGATCATTTTATCTATTAGTATACCTTTCTCGGTAAAATCACTATTGAGAGACAGGACTCAGCAAAGATACGACTTATGTTGATTTGATAGAGGAGCGCATGGAAACCAATCTGAATCAGAAAATATACGTTACCAATGAGTTTGGCTGAAGGAGAAGATACGTTATACACTAAATCAAATAGGTTCTCTAAATGCAGAAATTAAAAAAATCCTAAAATATTTCAGTGACAGAGTTTATGCTGTTAAAGAACTTCTTGATAACTTAGCAGAACAATTATTGGACTACATAAAAATGACTGTTGATACAAGAAAATGAAAAACGTGTGCTAAGCCGACGAAAATCCTAAACTATCAGAAACCAGAAATGAAATATCTTTTTAACCAAGATCAGTATGTAAATAATTCTTCCAATACAAAATCTCAATAAGACGGACTTCAAAGTGTTATCAAAGGGCCCTAAATTTTGTGATATTGAAAGGCGTTTGAGAAAATGGATGTCAAAATCCAGTTTGAAAATCTTTATGCACAAATAGCAAAGTTAGAAACTTCTCTTGAAATAAGATGTTGAAAAATCTAGATCAACACTAGTGGTCTCTTACTTTGGGTACTTAATCAATCGACATAGATCACCTGGAATTTCGGTTAGAAGTATACGGATGCTGTACGAAAACTGATACTAGTAACAAATTTTTATTTATGAAGTAGTCCTCAAGGAAGAAACAGCTATTTAACCCGTATAAAAACCCTTTTAAACGAAAAGATTAAGTTTTATCAACTGATATTTAAGACTAACGTGTCATGGAAAATTAAAAATCTCCAGGTAGTCTCCATTTATGTGGCGTTGGACCTTCTTTATCTTCTAAATTCCTTATATGTTCATCTTGAAGACCGTCACCATAGAACACGAGTCGTTGCCACGATTTTTTATTATTTAAAATATATAGTGATTAATACAATATCGGATTTAATACAAATGTATTGCCGTCGAATCATTTAAACAGTTAATCGACAATAACAGTCAAATGACTATTTGCGATGGTGGTCAGTAATGCTCAAGCATACATGCGCATTGCAGGTCCTCAATGATAAAAGTACAAAATAAATGTGAGGCGTTACAAGCTATATGGTCGACTGAGAAATACATAAAAGAGACCTGCCTATGTGACTTATTTTCAAAATGAATAATTGGCCTATTATATTGTAGAAAAATGGGTAATGCAAGTTCTCAAATCATTTCAAAAAGAAATTGTTAAATATAGTGTCAATGACCCTTTCAAATTTGTTGATAAACTGGAAGACAAAATTTATGATATCATAAGAAGAATCTTCGCAATTCTAACGACACTTTCATACTATTATGAGTCGAAAATGAAAAGGACAATTTAATTAATATTTTTAATAATATTTATCCTTCTATCAAAATCACGCTTTAGTAAGAAAAAAGTGATACCATCTCATTTCTACTTGCTTGATTACTAAGTTTAGATGGATTAGTAAAAAAATGGTTGCATAGAAAATACACATTTAAACAATTTCTATAATGCTTTAAGAATCAGAAAAATAAAAGAAAACTTAGAAATACATTGCCTTACTGAGTCAGACTGATTCGTCCTGATTACACAATTGAACAAATTTATGAATTAACAGTAATGAACGTTCGACTGAGTTCACCAAGTAACATATGAATGAAATGAAAATAAGACCGCACAAAGCAAACGTTCCAAGGTATTAAATTGTTAATCAATTGACACAACCGAAGAAATTATGTCTCAAATGTTAAGAAAACCGGTGCAGAAGATATATTCGTCAGTCAGACTGAATTCGGTTATCTACAATCGTCCAATAGTCAAAACCACAAATAAAGATAGACTGCCTGAATCCCCCGCATCCATGAGTATTTACAAATTTAACCGCTTTATATATATATATTAGTGTTGATCCAAGCTACAAAACTAATGGAAAAGAAATTTCTTTGCTCTAATCGTTATTTTATTATATATTATCTCTTCAAAAAAAATTCTATTTCATAAAATCAACAACAACATGACTTGTATACAATATAAGTTTATTCGTAACAATTTCTTGAATATAAAAATATATGTCTATGTATGTACAATAGTTTTTCAAATGTTTACAGTTCATTCATACTATTCAATTTGTGTCTTATCAGCTCAATAGTACTCAGTTCTTGCATTCATTAATGAAATTAAGAATCATGTAAAGGTAATGAAATATGTATATCTGTAGATGATCAGAGATTGAATTTCTATATAGTTTCTATACAAAAACAACAAATACTACTTATTGCAATAATAAAAAAAAATGTAAAGTAAATTAAATTGAGATAGTTTTTTTTGGTTATTTCTTCATTTAAATTGTGGCAGTAATAACAACAAACTGAGGAATATAGTTGAAGTTAGTTAGCTAAAAGTAAAATCAACAACAAACAAGAGATATGATACATTATTCTAAGAAAATGTTGAATTCATATTTTTAATGGAATTGTGGTATGTTGATTAAGTATTTTAAAAAAAAAAAGAAAATTAGTAGACAAAGATTTATTGTCAGTATGAATAAGGAAGGTAACCATTATTGTAAATGATAAGTTGTAAAATTAGAATTTTATATTTCAAATGATTGCAGAGAAGTGAATAAAAAATGTATGAATGATACACATGTGTGTGCATAAAACACACTTATGAAAAGATTATGCTGAATTAATTTTATCTTCTGCCACGACCGGTTTTATGAGCATAAAATTTATTAAAATTTTCTGTTATAATCGGTACTGGTATAGCTAAGGTTAATACACCAGCTACAGCACATACACTGCCAACTACTTTGCCTAATGGTCCTTTTGGTACTTTATCACCATAACCAACTGTACACATTGTAATTACAGCCCACCAAAATGCGTCTGGTATACTTTCAATTTGTGAACCTTTTCTATCAATTTCTACATAATAAATTGTACTAGAAAATACCAATATACAAACAATAAAAGCAACCAGAAATAAACTTAATCCTTCAATACTCTCTTTAAAAGTTAATACAAGCACTTGTAGACCAGATGAATGTTTTGTTAATTTAAATACTCTAATTAAACGTATAACGCGTAGAAATGCTAAACTAGCACTATTTTTTGCACCCTCACAACTGAACGTGATTAAAACATTGAACAATGTAATATAATATGGTACAATTGCAGCTAAATCAATTAAATTTTTAAAATCTTTAATAAATATTTTTTGACTTGGACAACTAATAAAACGTATAAAAAGTTCTATAGTAAACCAAAAGGTGCATAAAGTTTCAATAATAAAAAATGGATCACGAAAATTTGGTTTAGCTCCAGGTTCACAATGTGTTTGAGCATAAACTGGTAAAGTTTCAATACAAAATAATATAATAGAAATTACAGTAAAAATAAATGATGCCATTGAAAAAGTAAATGCTAGTATAGATGTCTCTGGATATTCAAACAACATCCACAATTTTCGTTTCATTAAATTTTCCGGTAGAACAATAATATCCGGTACATAACCTTCATTTTTTTTATATACATCTAATGCTTCAGATTCTATTTGAAAAAATTCTAATTCAGTAAGAAAGACATCATCAGATACTGTAGCTGGTCGTTTCAATCGACCACCATATTGATAATAATTAAATATTGCTTCAAAACTAGGTCTATGTCTGTCGAAAAAATACTCTTTACGATGTCCATCATAGAATGGTTTACGTTTGTTGTAATCACCTAATAATGTAGTTGGATGACGTTCAAGTACAGTTAGCCATGTTTCGAATTTCAAACCACTTACATTAATGGTAATTCTTCGACAGTCATCACATGATGTATTACTGAATCGTGAAACAGAATCTTTATGATGTGCACAATCCATGGAAATAGCCATACTTGATCTTGATCTAGTATTGGATAAAATTTTAAGTTCATTCATTTTTAAATTTTGATTAAATTTACTCCAAAATTTTCTACCATCATAATCACTATGTAATTGTTTAAAACGTTCTTTAATAGTTTTTCGTCTTTTCAACAATTTGTTTTCCAAATTTAATGTTGATTGTGATATTTGTCTCACATTGACCATTTGTGATGATGTTCGACGATCTATAATAGGTATTAAAAATTCAGGTAGAGCAAATTTCAATTCTTTTTTTGTCAGTGAAAACTTAGCATCAATTACATTAGTACTAGCATATTTTTCAATCTCATCTGAATTGTTGGAATTAGAGTAAAATGGACGTCTGGTAGGATTTGTCAGCATTAATCGATTACTTATGGTAGGGAAATAAAGTAGACGATCTTTAAAAGAATCTTTATGTACTTCATCAAATAAATTACTTGTATCTGTATCATCAAAATATTTCAACTTTGATATATTTGATGTAATGGAACTAGGCGAACATTGTGGTTCTGAATTGTCATTTACTTGATCAACATCTTTTGTTTGCGATGCTACTATTTGGTTCTCGTTTAGGCATCTTATACAAGCATTTAAAGAGGCAGAAGAACTATGTGATAGACAGGATTTCGGTCTCTCAGTTGTTTTATTGAAGTCATGTATACTTACATATGAATGTGAATCATCATCATGTATATTTAATCCAAACTCCATATCACCATCCAAATTAGAATTAGTTCGTAATAATCCATTAGAAGAATAAATTGATTTTTCTTCATCTATATATTCAACTGGTAAAGAAAGTTGCTTACTAATTGATTTATGAATTGCTGATTGAGATTTTGATGTGCTAGGTTTATGAGTTTTGTGAAGATATGGGCATTCTTTACGTAGACGAATATGATAACGTTGATGCTGTTGTTGATGTTGACAATGTGGAGCGTGATGATACAGTGGATGACGTGAACAAATACTTTTCTCATGTGTTCGACGCCTTTTCAATAAACCGAAAAAATCATGACTTCGATTTGTTTCATATGGGATTTCCGGTGTTGAGGAAAATATGAATTTATCTGATTCCAAATTTCTAGGAGACTGTGGAATCACTTTCATTAATGATGTTGTATAAAGCATCTTGAAAGTTAAAATTAATTCTATAAGACGAACAATCAAACTTTCTTTGTTTTCAACTTCAAAGGTCAGTGTTATAAAAGCGAAAACTGTTAACTGATTAAATAAATATTCTGCCATAAAATCGTGAATAATACATTCCCTCATCAATAAATATGCTTTCTTTTAAATTACATACAATGAAATTTTTAAAATTATTTGCTTTCTTTCATATGAAAAACAAATTATACTAAACTTTGAAATGAACATGTTTCAGGCAAATTCAATTTACAAATATAGGAAAAATGTGTATGCATTTACTTGAGCTGTTTAAATGATAATTAAATTTCTATGAAATACTGAAAACCAATCAGAAAACAGTTAAATATTTCTACCACCAGATGATTGGTTTAGTGAAAACTTTTCAAAATCGTTATTGGCCATTGACAAGAAAATGATGCAACTGAATTTTATACTTGAATTTTAATTAAAAAAACGTTCTAATATAGAAACATATGTCATTTAAACAATTAGCTGGACAACGTTTCAATGAAAAAAAGTCAAAATAAACCATAGTCAACTCATCAGACGAAACTGGATCTTAAATAAATTCAACTGATAAAGTGAAATGACAAACGAAATTAAAGTTGAAATTTAATTAGACTGTATATATAGATCAACAATTAACAAAAATCGTCATCCTAGTTCATCTATGCTTCCGATTTTCTTAGAATATACACAATTTTCTGCCTAATCTCAAATATATTCGGGAAGTAGAACCAAATAAGATATTCTACTTAATAAAATCAGTTATTGGAAGTATCTGTAAAACTTGATATGATAAACTGAAGTCAAAATACATATATATATATATATATATATATATATATATATATATATATCACCTACTAATGTTACTTACTGGTTAAATTAATTTCTTAATTTTCAAACTTCGATATATAAAAAGACAATTGAGAACATACTAACTGCTCATACTGTAGCAAATTTTGAACTCATTAAATATTTTGGTTAAGTTTAAAGCATCTGATATTTATTTATTTAAATACAAAGGGGTACCTAAAAGTTTATGCAACGCGTAAATCACTGAATTTGTAATTGAGCTGCGATACTTCTTTGACGCTCTGTATAAATTTTTCTCTGATGAGTAATCCATTAACTTATTTAACCCAAAATATTCACATTTAACAAAACACCCCAGAGTTGTGAACTTTCGTCATCGAATACAACGCTGATGATAAATACAAAGCTGATATTGTACTTGGGTAGTCCCGAAACATTTGTTATCTTTTATTTTGCATCATTTTCTTACTAATTTTATCAATAATTTTTTTTGGTGGGAAACCTATATTGTTATTATATCGCTAATGGTTTACGACTGATTAAAAGTCAACGTCCTATATTTTCTAATCCATTCAATTTATTTTTTTATCATAGCGAATTAAGTAAATATTCAGCTTCATGCTATTGGAGACGTTAGATCCCTAGAACTCACCTGATACTTTTGAACGTGGACCGATCAGTTGACCTTGAGATAACAATTCCCACCCGGAAGATCCTTGACTGTCATTGGTTGATGTGGTATTTTAGTTCAGTATATTTGTGGATCTCCTAAGGACGTTTCTATCATGTTTAAATAAACTCGATTTGTATGCTTGTTAATTTCAATTTTCTGGGTGTTTGTAGAATACACTTTCTATGCCGTATCAAGACTTCTTCCTCTATTTAGTGGGGCCTTGGGACGCTCGGAAAAGAGTAACCTATCATGTCACTGGATAATTTGTCTTCACTCTCGTTTGCCGTGTAGGGTGAACTCGTAATAGTTCCAAGAATATCAATTGACGAGCATGTCATATGGTCAGTGTGCTTAACTTTTAAAGATAAGCAAACAATTTGCTTAGACTGTAGTATTTCGTCTTTAAATATGCAACTCTGAAATAATTATTTAGAAGTTAACAATTCGAAATGAAACCCACTTTATACATAGTTTTGAATTTAAGAGTCATAATCTGATAAATATTATTTTAAGATAAACCTTAATTTTTACAAGTGGCGTACAATATAAGTAAACTTCGTGAAATTATATAGACAATAAAAAATCTCTTATGCCAAAAATTGGGTCAAGTGTTTTGTCCCCACATATATTCGATTAATATATAAATAAATCCGTTATTTTCGTTTGCAGAGATCTGATTTAATGACTTAGTGAAGTATACACTGATATGTATCCAAATGACCTTCGTACATATTGCTCGAGTACCATGCAATCCAACGGCAATGAGTACAGTAGATTCAACCATGTAGAAATTAAACAATCTAGCTCAAAAAACAAATATACTAAAATCATTTAACGACCTACAAATTATGTTCATCATCATCAGATCAATATCTGGTGTAACTGCAAGTTTTAACCATAGTCGTTTCATCGCATCTGTATTGATCTTTTATAGTGTTTTTTTTCTAGAAAAAGGGGTTTTCTTAGAGAAAGTGTGTAAGCTTTCTTACGTAAAATAATCTACTTGACATAACTTCGCATCAGCCGTTGTCAGATTCAAATTATACAGTTTTAAATCAAAGAATCTTATAAAGCTAACTGCTAAAAACTAGGAAATAATAGGGATTGATTTTGTTTTAGTATGGGGGTCATAAGAAGCTCATTTCAGCGAACCAATTGGGGTTTGAAATAGGGAAATGTATTGCTAGCAGAGAGTATTTAACCCACAGATGTCTGGGTTAGCATGCTGTGGTAAATAATTAAGGTACTATACGAATGAAGATGCTTATCTTGCTTTCAACATAAAATATGGATAGATTATTAAATAACAGTTACAAAAACTACTGTGCAAATACAGTAAATAGAATTAAAATAAAAAGGCCCCTTTGATCAACCATATTTTAACTTTCCACGCAGTTTGACTCATTTATTGTGATCAAGTATTATCTTGCTTAACATCAGTTGAATACACTTTCAATCTAAAATACAAACTAGAACAATTTATATGACCTTACTTAAAGAAATTATTCAACTGTTAGTATGGGGTTGTGAAGACTATTGAGTTTAATGGAAATCATGAACTGATCAATTTTAGACCACCATTAGAAATCTGAAAGAACTGGATGGCGGCTTCGGCCTTCTATGTAATTTGTTAACAGTGAGTACCCATGACTTTGCCGGTGGAATCTAGTCCAAGACCTTTAGTTTTGCACGCGAACGCTTAGCCTCTTGTTCTGTAAACTGGCATCCTGTAGTTTTGATTTGACTATAACCCAACAAACTCCACAACTGTGTATTGACAGAATCCTGACAGAATCCTTGAAGTTCTGGCGTGCAGTCTTGACCTGTGCAGCTTAAGTGTGCCGGGTGTGAGGTAGTCAAACAGTGAAGACAATGAATGGTGGTCACACAGTATCTTGGATTGATTCGAATTAGAAATTAACACTGCTAGATATCAGCATAGTGCTCAAGATGTTAAGTGTTCGTGAGATCCTGGGTTCGATCCCCATCAAAACGATTGTGGATTCTCACTGCTGATGAGTCAAATTCTAGGATGGAATAGATTTTCACTTCTTTCAGGTCTCCCCCACTGGTCTAACATTGATCAGTTCTTGATCTCAATGAAATGAATTATCATTTATTTGCTTTCTTATTCAGTGCAAACTTGATATTCTTAACCTTAGCCTGGTTATTTTAGTATGTATCTGGTTTTACAGCCTTGACTAGTTCAAAAATGTATTAAATCCATTATTGGATGTGCCAGAATAAATCAAGAAAAGTTCGAATAAACATCTGCCGTTTGGTCATTGCTACCTTTCCTCTCTAACACGAATAAAGGAAAGCATACTTACTGAAAGGTTATGATACTGTTAACAATAATAAGATAAATTATTTCAAACAATTTAATGTCAATTTTTAAAAACCACAACTGAACAGTTGTGTCACCTGTGAGATAACTAACTGAACAAGATTGAACCAAAAAACCTATAAATTGAAACTAAAATATTTATCAACATTCTTAAAATAAGTGCTCGATTCTTTGTTGATACGGGGATTATGGAAACGGAATGTATGAACATAATATTTGATTACACACTAAAATTATGTACTGATTTCTTTCCAGAATTTACAGGAAGAAAATTCCAAAAGTGTTTTGAGAATGGTTTCCTGAGAGAACAAGGAAACCATAATTAATAACATGTGTGGTGCGTGCTACTTATAAGTAGTATATGACGCGAGTGAAAACGTAGTCTTGCAGTAGAAGATGGAGGAAGATCAAGAAAGGAAGAGTGGGAACACAATGGAATTTGTATGAAACGCATGAATAGTGAAATGTCAGACAATGGATTGATGATGGATTGAAGATTTGCAAATCAAACGTTTATGATATGATTTTCCTATTTCACTGAGTAACTCTGTAATTTGCGGTAAATACAATTCGGTTGCCCTCACCTGTGTTCTCCTTCACTACACATGTACTAACAGTAATCAAGATTTCATTAGCATCCACAAATTTTGTTTTTCTCGTGACAAATAGACCTTTTCTTGTCAAGTCAGATTAGAATTGCCAAAATTTGTTTACACTGTGACCGTTGTTTGATTTTGTAATTAAAACGATCATAGAGATAACTTTTACGAGTGAATCGGCATTACCTCGCTAGTTGGAATTCATTCAAAGTCTTTTCAGTTATCTAAATGACAGATTCTTTTGTTAGACTAAAAACAACCACATTGGTCTATGCCAATTAACAGTAATCTTCAGTTTCGTTTAGTGAATGATCGGTTTTTGGTATTTATGAGTTGTATTAAAATTAAGATTGAACAATTGTCTTATCCCCCCTTGGTTTTCAATGGATCATCAGTTGACTTCCTTCAGTGATAAATACGTTCTTCAGGTTAAATATGATATTAACTATAATCACTTAGTTCAATGTTCTATTTTTAGAAATCACAGGTATCTGTATTTGTTTATAATCGTAGGCGTTGAGAAAACACCATAAATTTGTTTAGTCTGATAGATATGAATCAACAAACTAACATTTTTATGTTGCTTTTAATGCAAATGGAATTAACCATAATTTTCCAAATTTACAAACTAGATCAAAATAAAATAAATTGTAAAACTAAC